GATATCTATAGTGTTGGAATGTTAATGTGGGAAATATTTGCAGGTTGTCCACCATTTGATGATAGAGCTCACAATCATTGTTTGGTTTTTGATATATGTGAAGAAGGTTTACGACCACCAATATTATCTGAAATGCCTGATGATTATGTGCAAATCATGCAGAGATGTTGGGATGTGGATCCATCAAAAAGACCAACTAGCAGAGAGCTGCTTGACTTTGCTAGAAACAAACTTGATGAAATTTTTAAAAATAAAAGTTTGAAAAATAATAGTAACAATAATAATAGTTTAATAAAAAGATTATTCAAATTTTCTAAAGTCAAAAAACATGAAATTGATTTTAATAATGATGGCAGCAGCAGCAGTAATGGTAGTGATTTGCAACAAGCACACAAATCACATCCAGATGCATATCATACAAGTAGAATCTTAGATGAAGAGATTGCTAAATCTAAAAGCTTGAAAAGTTATACAAGTAATGATAGTTCGTTAAATAATCTTGATTTTAACTCTTTTCTCTAGAATGTTAACAAAAGACGAATAATATTTTCATTATTGATCAATTGGAAATTACTATCTATTAATTATTACTAACAATATTAATTAATGAATTAAATTTTAGTAACAATATAAATTTATTCATTATAATTATTTATCTTTCTTTTTATTTTATCTTTATTTTATTTTTAAAACTAAATTATAATAATAAACTTTTTACAGTTTTTTGATTCTTGTTAAATGGTGATATTGTGATAACAATTTTATGGCTTAACTTTGGGACTACTCTTGTCAGTTAATTGCAAATAATTCAATTCTTGTCAATTAATTAGTTTATGAATTTATTTTGGTTCTTGATTACTGCACCTAGACAAGTCTGTGAGCACACTGAATGGTACCAGATAAATGTAAATAAATAAAGGTGGCCTTTTACAATGCTATAAAGTTCCTTTTATTCCCTTGTGATTGATTTATTTCAGTTGTTTTCCTTATTTACATTCATTGGCCAATTGCAAGCTCATTTTGGTTTACTTGCAAAACAACACAAGTAGCTTGTTTAACAGCTTTACAATTGCAACAATACTACCAGTATTCCCAATTAACCTTTGGACAATACTTCATTTAGCCAACGTTAATTAGTCCAAACCTTTGCTTACTCACTAAAAGCAAATTATGTTACTAATCGTTGTTAACACTCGCTAGTTAACCAATGTTACTAATCTTGCTTGTTTGCTCACTAATGTTTGGAGCCAAAAGTTTGGGGTGCGGTAGAATTTTATTTTATTTATATTATTGGCGCATGCAAATAAATGTGGGTTTTTACCAATGCTCCACAATTGTTACCAAGGCACTTTTATCAAACAAAGAAATAAAGACAATGGCGGCGAATTGAGAGATATAATAATAATATTAACAATAACAACAATGATGGCGGTAGCAATCAATACCGGCAAGCTTAGCACCATCTGAGAAGTTTTTAACCAACTGGGATTTATTTACAAAAGAAATAGACGGTAAAAATATAAAAAACAAATGATTTTTAATGAATTCATAAAAATATATTACTTGCCTAGTAAAATTAATTCATAAAAATTTATCCAAGTTCTTGGCCAGCTAAAAAAAATTTCTCGCAGAATTTAATGACACGGACACTTGTCCATCTGCATTAATTTAGTACTTAGAATGACAAATAACATATATTTGCTCAAAAAAAAAATTTTTTTTACAATACTCGTTGCAGGACAAAGTAATTATTCAAATTTATTCATTTTATTTGTTTTATTCGAATAAACCTTATTCGAACCGTTAAATAATAATAATAATGGAGGGATATTATAATAACAATAGTAAATAATAGTAAAAATAATTAATGATATATGACGTAACTAAAGTATTGACTAAAGATAGTTTCTCATCAGCACCATTTTGACGATTTGACTAAAGTAAAAGCCCTTGAAATAAGTAAAACCACTTGACAAAGTAAAAGCGCTTGATACAAGTAAAACACTTGATACAAGCAGCAATAGTAATAATGATAATAAAGAACTATTATATCATTGTGTGTATATTGCAAGAAGAATAATTATCACGAGAAATTTATAAATGCTATAATTTGAATTAGAAATTTTATTTTCAAAATAAAAATTCCTCTTCTTTTATTATCATTACATTTCATATAATCAAATTGTCTTTACATTGCATATGAGTTGTGTTAAATTGATGTTTTTGACTTTTGAAGTTAGTTAATTACGCGTAATAGTAATACGCAGTAACATTAATAATGTGCTTGAGTTGTATTTAGTGTCTAAGTTTGAAGCAACATAGGTTGATCAATATTGGTGGTACTTAGAACGAACTTTACATAGCACATAAGACAGCACATATTTTTGTAGGTTTTAATTTAGTTTTCTATTTTTATCAATTTCAAAGAATGCTGAAATTCTTTTATTGTTGAATCACTAGAATTTGGTGATGATGAAGTTGTTCTTTAAATAATGCAATTTTCACTTTTCAATTTACATCTTTATCAATTAATCTTGTTAGAAAAATTGTTGTATGAAAAATTTTTTGTTACACATCATTCAGTTCTCCGCAAAGAAAAACAAGTTTTTAAACGTTGATATTCTGGCACTATAATATTATAAAATCACACGACTCAATCACATATACATTCATTCAGAGCATCAAAATTAGCACTAAATACAAATCTTATCATTATTCATAATCAATAATACAATCTTTATTAAATATAGACTATTTCATGGCATTGATCGAGTAGTCTAATAAATTACAACAGAAACATATAAATAGATCCTCTACTCCTCAAAAATCGCAAAAGACGGTGCATTGATTTTGTATTTTACGTTGTATTCGAATTCGAGGGTTGAGGATTGATCTTTTTGTCCTGATCTTTTCCTCGTGTTTATTTATTTATCACAAATTAAAGGTCAATGTGTCAATTAGATTTTTTTTTTCAAGTCTATTATTATGGAAAGATAAACTTCACGCAAACATCAAAAGTTATTTACAAATTTCATTTGTTAAGAAACAATCAACTAAACTTTTTTTTTCTTAATTAAAAAAAAAAAATCCTTTGCTAAAAGAAATTAAAATTTTTCTTATCCGAATCATCCATTATCTCTCAAATGGTCAAAATCAAAAAAAAAATTTTTTTAATTCAACACGAACATATTGTTTGTTTATCGATCATTGGGTTGACCAAAAATATACTAATACGATCCGTCCAAGGCCATAAGTTTTGGTTAGAACAAGACAAAAACTTAACGGTAGACAATGATAGACGCCACGCAAAAAAAACTAAAGCGAGACATGATTTTCTTTCAGTCAAGTATCTGCTTTGATCAACTCTGACGTACGTTTTGAACAAAAAAAAGATAAATTTTTCGGTTGCCAAATAGATAGCAATGGGAGTTCGCATGACACGGTGATATAAAAATAAACACAACTATTTATCATTTTCGGAAAACGAAAATATTTTTGTTCAAATTTCAATTAATTTCAAGCCAGCGCAGCAAAAAAAAAGAAAAAACGACTCATTACCTTTTGATTTTGAATTCATCCGTAACTGCACCGTTTCAAATCTTTTTACAACAGAATATTTTTCACCGTGCAACCAAACATTTCAAATTTGTTAAATTAGGAAAATCTATGACATTAGAAAGTAACTGTGACACAGAAACCTTTTTTTTATATTTAATCTTAACTGTTGTTATTATTCTCAAAAAAAAATCTCTCTCTAATTAAAACACAGAGTCAAATTTTATATTTATATCTTTACATAATGTCATTTATTAAACTATTATCATCGTTATCACTAGAAAGAAAGGATTTTGTATATAAAATTAATAATGAAATGTATAATAATGCTCTGGCTAATTGTGGTAAAGTGTAAAAAATTATTTTTTTTCATTGGTCAAAAAAAACAAGGAGCTTTCTGAAAATGAAAAAGAATTTTGTAAAGAAAGGTTTATTTATGAGCTTGAATTAAGTAATGCAAAGGCTGAACCAGCCAACCCAAAAAAATGTAATAAGTGAAGATTA